GTTGGAAAAAAGTTACAAATAAATATGTTTAGAAAAAGGTTTAACATGGTTCACATTTTGTCTGAGGTCAAATGTCATTTATACAACAAGTGCATGTTTTAATATTTTGTGCAGGGATTAGTTTCACATTTATCAGTGGCACAGAAAATGTCCTGCAGCAGTAGAATGGCAGTGATTCTATAACATTTTCATGCAGTTGCTACATCTGGTGATTATATTTGCTATATTATTTAGCAAATACAATCAAATTATCTGAACTTTATTATCTGTGTTAACAGTTCAGTAGGAAAGCGGTGAAATTTTTGCACAGGAATGAGAGATAGACACACAGGATGATAAAATTACAAACTGTAAATATAAACCAATCAGCAGCAACGTTAGGATTAAAACCACTGGCATAATAGAAGATCCTTAGGATCATGTTTGAGGCACTTTTGTTGTCAGGGAGATCCATGGCGGGTGGGAGTTGGTGTTGGTTTTGTGGCTTATCTCAGTGCATGGAGAACCTTGAAGTGTTTAGGGAATCCACAGCACTGGTGCATCTTTTGTATGCATTAAACATTTTGCATTTCTCAGCCATTTTGAGCTTCTAACAAGCACAAACGCAAAGTTTTCATCATTAAATGTGAAAGTATAATTTGCCCCATACTTGCCCCAGGCTCTTGTGTTGATTTTAGTCCCCAAAAGAGTAGTGTTCTAGTGAGGCATAAACTGAAGCACAGATGAACCTTGGAAATTAATAGCTAACCTACAAGCATGTCCAGATGAAGATGTACACAAGCACTTTAATAAAGTTAGTCATATCCATCCACTTCAGTCATAACTGTTGGGCTGTATAGAAAAATCTGGCTTCTTTTAGATGAAAGAGTTTCTACTTGTTTTTAAATTAGAAGACATTAGTGCATAAATTCAACAACGGATGCTAAAGATGGAGCTGCAAGGCAGGAGGGGGAAAAAAGGAAGACACGGGAGATTCAAGGATGTAGTGAAGGAGGACCTTCAAGCACCTTGAGGTGACTGTTGTTGTGATTTGGCGCTATATAAATAAAATAAAATTGAATTGAATTGACATTCAGAGGGCTGGTATGATAGAGGAGGATGCTAAAAAAGGGGGTGAGTTGATCCACTGTGGTGACCCCTGAAAGGCAGCCAAAAGAAGGATGAGATCAAATGGTTTAGAAGAGGCTTCTTTTAACTCATTACAGGCTGCTCCCGAGTCTCTTTCTGATGGCGCACTTCCTGATCTCTGACAAGTGTGAGCAGGGGTTACCATATACACTTGGAAAGTGCAGGACTGGCCGGGTGCGTGTCCTCTGTCCCCTCGGTGGGTCCGCATGCTCTGTTTCTGAACAGATGCACCCCAGTGTGTCCAGTCCCCAACCTCACAGTGAGCTAGAGGAGAAATGGATAACACTGGGAATATACATGACCCCTGAATTGAACTCTGCTGAGAAAGGTTAAACTATAACTTTGGGGGGGGTTCCAATAGAAACCAACATAATCTGTTTGGTTTTCCATGCGTCGGGAGCACACACTGGGCTGTCCAAATCACGGACAAACAGTATCCCACAGTTGTTTATGTTTTTAAACCCATTTTGCACCGAGAGGCATTTTTTGAACATTTTTCTTGTAAAATTGTGTACAACATACCAAACCAAAATAATATACAGGCTCAATGAAGCCCTCTTTTTCTGTGAAACACTCCTTTGTTTGTGTACGGTGTGCAGCCACACCAGATCTGCCTCATGTGCACATCTATGCAGAACATTTAAAAAGGAAATACATTGATGAACTTTCATGGTGCTATCACTTACTTTGTTTTTCTCTACCCTTTCCAGCTTTTGTTTGTTTGTTTATTTACTGTGTGTTATTTATGCTTTAAGGGCTGATTTATAGAACATTTCTTTTCCCAAAATTGTGGAAAAGTGATTAATTTCTTATGGTATCTTGTAATTGTTTGTTTACTTGCTTGCTTGCTTCTTTATTGGAAATGTATGCACATTTGTGTGTTTTTACACAGAAGATACCTCATTTGTAGAGGTAAAAAGAATAGTTAAAATTAAAAGAAAAACAGAAAAACTGTAATATAAAAAACAAACAAAAAAAACGGATTTTTTTTGTGACAGGTGAACACACCTATCAGGACATACTTTTCTACATACATTTACAAATGTATGTATATATCTAAATATATATCTCCATATCTAGGGTAATATAACAAAGATAATAAAACATGATAAATTAACATGTCTTTTGCCTCATACATGAACAAAGTTGGTATAATTACGTTTATGTAAATGAGGCAAAATAAGTAGCCCCATATTTGGAGTATAAATCAGCCCATTCCAACTCATTTTTTCAAAAATGCTTAATTCCCACCCCTGACTCTTGGTTGTTGGGTGTTATGTAGATGACTTTGAACCCCCTCCCCCGCTACATCTGCTGTCAGGGTGCCGGTTGAGCAAACATGACACTCTTTTCATTAGTAACTTAGCAGATACTGTAAAAGAACAATCAGGCACTTTTACGACTTCAACCTTTTGGCTCACTATGAGGAACCCTGTAGTGACGTGGAACCAGTAGGATATCACTTCATCACACTAACACATGTAGTGTGAAGAAGTGAGGAATTTGAAGAATCATGGGATATAATGGGAGAACAAAGCAGAGATTCGAGAGAGCTCATCTGCACACATACAGCTTTTTAAAACCTTATTTTGGGATCAAGTCAGCAAACTTAATCAGGTCTTATCAGGACTGACTGGTGATTATGTATATGCAGGTTTGATGAATCACTGGCCACTGAAATTTAACTACATTTAGGTAGGGAGTGATTTAATTTGGCTTCCAAATGAATGCCCAAATAACTGCCTGCAGGCATTTCAATGTGGACTTTCTAAAAGAATTTGATCCCAAATGTTTTCAGATAAGAATAACAATTATTTTCTATATTTTAAGTTGTCATACATAAATTAGGCAGTGTAAAATTCATGAATGTTTAATACAGAACAATGAAAGGACAGTGTTTACTTGCACGGAAATACAATTAAAAAAAACTCAAAAAAGGAATTTCAGATCAAAACAAGACATTAAAAATATGAAAGAATATTGCCACTGCCTTCCAAAATAATCTTTATGATGCTCTTCACCGTTTTCATCATCCTCTCGCCTTTTTCAATACTTTCTGTAAAGAAAGAACGGAAAAATTTTAGAGTGAGCTCAATTTGACACAACACTGAAATTTCTAACTTCTGTACAGTACGTTTAAAATATCTTTAATAATATGAAGAAGTGCCAGCATACTGAGGGAATAAAATTGTCTGTTTTATGTAGTTTCAATTACAATGATTAAAAGAAAAACTTCGTAATGTAACAAGATGATAGCTGTTATTATTTTACAGTAACAGAAACTACCTAGCGTCGAGCAATTCTTTAAAAGTCTTTGAAATGTTAACATGTGATTTGATTGTGTGTGCAGAGAAATAATATGTTTGTTTGTTTATTTTAATATTAAATAATGTGTATTTTCTGCTGTAAGGGCTGATTTATGTATATAAGTTATTCAATCAAGACCCCTCCAATAAGGGAAAAAAACGTAGTTTACTCTTTTACATTTAGTGCTTTACAGTTATATACAGTGATGGAAATATTGAAAATAATTCAATCTCTAATTTTAAGGTTGTTTAGTTAAACGGAGAGACAGAACCAAACGATTAATCGGGAATCAATAGATTAACTAATGATTTACTAATGAATAGTAAATCTCTAATCACTGGTTGGTTACATGATTGTGTTGTTAATGCAGTTATGTGAACATAAACCGACCTTGGAGACTGCCCTGACGTGCTGAGCTCTGATCGTCGCAGATTTCTCCTCAAACGCTTTGGCCTTCGCCTCTTCAGCCAGGCTGTTCAGGAACAGCAGTGTCAGCAGTTCGATCTGAACACACAGGAGCAAAAACCAGCTGTTATTTAGCGTCGCTCATCTACCGGTCAGCTGCGGACAAAGCGATAGCCTACCATCGCCTCTGACGCCGGCCTCACGTTTATGTTGCCCTTCGCCTTCGTTTTAATTGTACTTTTCAGTCTGGGCGCTTTGTTCAACATGACGATGAAGTTTCTCTGTGAAACAAAAAAGGAACACCCCACGAAAAACGTTTGTTTACGTTTTCTAATCTCCCGCTTTGTTGACTTCCGGTGTAGATTCTTCTTCGTGGTTTTATAAGCCGTTTGCCTCCTTGCTTGTTTCATCCGCGCCATCTAGAGTTTTGTACTCATTACTGCGCAAAGCAGTAAATGCTTTCTCACCTTGTATTAACATACCAAAACATAAATAAATAAATAAATAAATAAATAAATAAATAAATAAATAAATAAATAAATAAATAAATAAATAAAAATGCAGAAGATTTAAGGCAAACATGACAAAATATTAGGGTTGAAACTTAGATAAAAGTAAAAGTAACATGCTCATGCAGGAAATCTTATAATTTGATGTTCACCTGTCACAATTTTTTTTTACCTCTACAAATTAGGTATCTTCTGTGTAAAAGCGCACAAATGTGGATACATTCTGAATAAAGAATCGATCAAGCAAGCAAGCAAGCAAGCAAACAAACAAACAATTAAAAGATATCATAAGAAATGAATCACTTTTCCACCAATTTTGGGATACAAATCAGCCCTTACAGCATAAGTAGCACATTATTTAACAGTAAATAAACAAACAAACAAAAGATGGAAAGGGTAAAGAAAAACAAACTAAGTGATAGCATTTTGAAGGTTCATCAATGTATTTCCTTTTTTAAAATGTTCTGCATAGATGTGCAAATGACATTATATAATATCCATAAATCTGCATAAACTCCTAAAACACAAACTGCAGGATTTTAAAGACCTGAATGTGTATTTTGAGGACAGGAGGAGAGGCAGTGCTTCCTGAATAAACAGATACAAGTGTGTCCTTCGACTCGGTATCTTTACGTTGTGTATGCTGCCATCCAGCGGCTGCTTTGCGCTATTACATCAGCAAACTCAGTCTTTCTGTATCCGGGTCGGCGGATCATGATGGCGGCCACCGCGGACAAAACAGCCGGCATGAGTAAAATGCTGCAGTTTATGAAACTTATCGGACAATTGAAAGTGAGTTATTATAGAAAGAGAACAAAGACACCTCTATGTTGTTATTGTAGATGTGTACATGTGATATGTTCCTGCAGCTTCGTGTGTTTTTTGCCACCAAACCTTTAGTGTACAGTATTTCCCCACAACGGAAAGCCAGAAAAATCTATCACCAGAAGCCAGAGATATATTATCTTTTAGGTGTGCTTACCCGCTTTACCTGCAAAAACAAACAAACAAAAAACTTAAAACTATTCCTACTTGCACTCACGACGAGTTATCAAACACAGTGAAGTCAGTATCTGCACACAGAGTGTCCCCCAAAAAACCCCTGATGAACCAGTTATGAGACATGTGTGTCACTGATGGCTGATATTACTCGCAGAGGGTGCCGCGGACCGGCTGGGTGTACAGGAATGTGAAGAAGCCGGAGAGTGTGTCCGACCACATGTACCGCATGGCCATGATGTCTCTGACCATCACTGACCCCACAGTGGACAGGGACAGGTGGGTCCCATACACCTGAAAATCAGTTTTTACACCATTATCTAAAAGGGAAGCTGAAAAACATATAAATGTTCCTCTTTTTATGTGCTCTGGGTCTCTTCCTGTTAAAAGGGACTTCTTCCTTTCCGACATGGCGACAGCTGTCGCCATACTTGCTCATAGGAGATCACAAGGAATTGCTCTTTCATATTGCAAGGTTTTTAGCTTGCAGTATAAAGGACCTTGACTGTTGTTGTGAACTCTTGTGTCTCCAGGTGCATAAAGCTGGCTCTGGTTCACGACATGGCAGAGTGCATTGTGGGAGACATCGCGCCATCAGATAACATCAGCAAAGCAGAGAAACACAGGAGAGAAGAGGCAAGCGACTTCATCATAAAGGAGGCAAATACTAAACTTGGCTGTAGTTGTAACTTCTCCTTGCCTTTCAGGAAGCGATGAAGCAACTAACGAGTCTTCTTCCGGAGGCTCTCAGAGAGGAAATCTACGCACTGTGGGAAGTATGTCTCTGCAAACATGGCATTTGTTGCTTCCTGGCCATGTGCTTTATAAGCAGGATGCTTTGTCCTTGTGCAGGAATATGAAACTCAGAGCAGCGCAGAGGCCCGGCTGGTGAAACAGTTTGACCAGCTGGAGATGATCCTGCAGGCGCACGAGTATGAGGAGATGGAGGGAACACCAGGAAGACTGCAGGAGTTCTTTGACTCCACAGCCGGTACGTCTCCAGCACGTCTATCGTAGCATTTACCCATTTTTCTACTCGCTCTGATCTTGCTGGGCTGTCTTTAGGTCGTTTCCACCACCCGGACGTTCTCCAGCTGGTCAGCTCTATGAACAAAGAGCGAGAAAGTCACATGACCAACACAGATGGCACAAAGACGTCTGAGCCATCGCAGGCTGCTGATTCGGTGCCTGAAAAAGACCACACAACGTCACACGCTTCCTGACTGTAACACGCACACAGTGAACAGGACTTCTCAGGCAGACAGAGATGCTGGATTCAGACAAACAGTCTGTACAGGGACGCACAAGCTGTAATATTGTTTTTGTTTTTTTTGTCTAAATCACACCAGTTCATTGTTTTAGTCATTGTTTTATATGTTTTCAGTTTACACACATTATTGCGTATTTTAAACCAAGACAAAGTTAAAGCAAAGACTGAAGATTTGAAGTAGCAAATGACTTTTAAGGAACCGCTACGTTTACATATTATTTAGTAACGCTATTTCTTGATCTTGTATTTGTGACAGCTTGTGTTTTTCGGTTATTTGATATACATGTACATCTTTAGTGTTTGATACTTGAATGTGAATCAGGTATGAATCTAAAAAAGATGCGCTCGCACTTGGCTCCTGAAAGTAAACTTAGAGGCTTCAAAACCCAAGTTTGGCATCACATTTATAACTGTGGCGAGGGCTCTCATCTTAACTAATTTGGTGCTTTAAACTTTTCACCTGTGCTGGTGTGATTAGATCTGTGATTGGCTGAACAAATAAGGTGGTGGAGTAGGTCTGATATCAGTTATTGTCAAAGATTCCTTCAGACTGATCTCAGTCGTTCTGCATTTTTAAATTAGAGAGAAATTATCTGCAAACCTTCCACAGTCTCTGAGACTGACTGGCGGATGCGACTGTTTGCAGACAGCTTGCCTCCTAAAAGCTGACATGTGCAATCATCGTGCAATCAAGCAGTTGCGTGTATGCAACACCTTCAAGCTTTGAGCAAGCATTTAATCACCTCAAGCTGCAGCTGGTTTAATGTTTGTTCCGTTTTCCCCATGCTTTTCCAGAGTGCTGTTGAAACTGTAGAGTGACATCAGGTTTGGTTCAAACAATCTTTATTATACATACTAAAGTCATAAAAACAGTTATTGATCATTCACATACAGTGTTATTGTACATGATGGTCACAGTTATGTCTTTTTGTGTTTATGCTGTAAAGACATTTATTACATAAAAGGTTTATTGAAATCAATTTTCCAAAGACAGAACAGAACGAGTTATTTTTAGTGAGTCTGTTTCTGTTTATGGATTTTATTGAATGTATTTCAAGGGCCAAGCATCTTCTCATGGGAGAGGACCAAAAACAAAAGTTTAACACATGAAAGAGAAAGTAAAAACTACAAAACACAAACGATTATTTACTGCAAATAATACAAAGACAAAGTAATGAGTTTGCCACACAGAGCAGATTTGAATAGTTGCAAAGATCATTCTCATCGTTTACGGCACCAACATTTTAGTTATAGTGACACTGAATTCAATTTTTCAGCGTTAAAATCTGAGCTCATGTAGTTTCACTACGTGCGTAACAGCATTCGCTGGATTAATGCGTCACATTTACAGCCAAGAATTGTGCTCCCGATGATACATCATGTCGCACTGATGCTTTTTCACATATACACCACTGCTTCCTGTAGTTGCTCTCACAGTTTGCATTTAGATATTCAAACAGACCCCAGCTGCAGCTCACTGCTGGCTGCGCCTCCCCAACCCCATGTGTATATCAGTACACTGAGTATATATCGTGAAATGCCGACAACAAAATGTTTTTAGATGCCACAGTGAAACCTGAGGAGCTAGATCTTCTGTAGTAGTGTAAAATCCTTTATACAAACGTCACCCAGGATGTTCAGGTTGATCACAGTCACATTTTTACAGCATTAAGTAATAAAATTACTTAATTTTTTAAAATCACAAACATATTTCTAGTAAAGATGTGAAACAGCAGTTTTCTGCTGTCCTAATAAAAAAAGGTAGCTGTTTTAAAACTCTCATACTGATGCGGTGTTGAACATCTACTGTCACTTTTTCCACTCGTCTTAAATTTACACATCTCACGGAGGAATCGGCCTTTTGTTTTGTGTCTGGGGAAACCCAGCTGTGATCTGACAGCTGAGTGAACTACATGAGCACAAATGTGCCAAATAGAAGAAGAAGAAAGTACCAGCTCGATATGCGGGGTTTAGGTTCAGTCTGTCTCCTGAAGTTGATGTGTAATCAGCTCAGACTCGTTTCATGTCGTGTTTCAGGTCATTTAAGGCCTATCTGCTAGCTGCTCCTCCCCAACCCCATCTCATCAACATCTGTGGTGTAACGTGGTTAGGAAACCTCTGGAGGACAGATGGCATTCATCAAATCCACTAAAAACCCTTCAACACTATAAATAGAAGGAAAACATTATAGGCTCCTTGCTCTCATTAGTCCCCGTATCATATGAGGTTTAGAGTTGATCTTTTAAAATAAAAGAAGACGACTGCAGCCTTAGGGCTCATTTTGGGTAAATGTAATTATTTAGGTTTTAAGACAATCTGTATTCTGCAAAAGCGCCTTGACACTAAGGATCAAAAGGTGTTGTGCACTGTTTCAGTCAGAGCTTTGAGTTAAAGTGCTGCGACACATCGGCAGCGGAGTTCCCGTTTAAGCCCTGGCTCGTGGTCCGGGTGGAGCCTTAACACTGCCTCCCAGAGCTGTCCATCAAGTTGTTGGTGGGCGTGTCCTGTGAGCTGGCGTGCGCTGCGGATGACAGGACGTCCTCAAAGCTGCCGCCACTCCCGGTGCCGCCAACCTTTGTCTGGGACAAGAAACAAAGGCACAAAAGTGTCACTGAAGCTGTCGTTCTTGTTCTGTGGTGCTGCAGAGTCGACTCAAGGTGGCAGACTTTTACAAAGACTGAAGCTGTCGGGCATTTGCAGGGCGTGTACATGGAAACAGGAGTCATTTCACCAGCTTTTGTTCCAACTTTGCCAACCACCACAGCAGATTTCAAATCAAATAATCAACATGTGATTAATATAAACCTCTCTGGTGATCTAGTCGGGTAAAAACAGGGTCAGATTCACAGCTTACTAACCCATGAATGTTGCTTCCTAGTACACTCCTCTGGACTCTTAGGACTTGTTTTGGTATCACTATAAATGTCAGTAATCAGTGGGTTCCCTGTCAGAGTGTAGGCTCATAATTACACACTAATTATAGTACTTTGTTTTATGCGTCAGTACTTAGAAGCTGCAACCTGACCAGCTTCTTTATGTGCAGCGTTCACATGAAATAGTTTTTAGTTTATCTTGAAAAACATTCAAAAGTGCCCCTAAATGCCTCGGATTAAGTGAGACTACTTTTAAGGCAAACACACTCTGTTTGAGGCTTTTCACATGTTATCACTTTATAATGCTAAATCTCCCTCTCACACACACATGGTTACCTTGATAGTGGAAACTGTGTTCTCAACTTTCTCTTCAAAAGACCTGAAGCTGGGAGAGTTTCTGTGAAAAAGGGAGGGAAAGATTATTAAAAAATAAACCACATTTTGCTGTCTTATCACATGAGCACACAATTATTTGTGAAATCCTCTTCTGAAATAGAAGAAGCTACTTTTGGCAGCGCCCTTATTCAAAAAGGGGTCATGTTTGATTTGTAAAATATTCTGAAATAACACAATGGGGGGTTTTTTGGTACTGCAACACAAAAAAGTCAAAATGACCTGAAGAAGTGAGCATGTGGAAAAAAACACACCAGGTATTTTTCCAGGTGTGTCAGGGTCAGAGTGCCTTTAACTAAATACAAAGCAGTGCAAGCGTTGCATTAACTCCTAAAGACTGCACAGGATTTTTTTGTGTTAATACACAAAAACTTCAAATTTTAAATGATTATCTCACATATAAACATCTCTCTCTCTCTCTCACTCACACACACACAAAGACACGCACAAAAGCACAGAGTGGTTACCTCATAGCGGGCATGCTCATAGAGTGTTTGATAGAGTAACTGTCCCCGGAGAGCGTGGTGAGAGAAGAGTTAATGATTAACACAGGTTACACGCACTCACCAAACCAGAAACAAAGCCAAGAGTCAGAGCAGTGCTTAGCTGTTCTGTCCTGATGCTGTGCATGTGCAGAGTGTGACAGAGGATTACGTACAGGAAAGCAGTTACATGTCAAAAGATATGCAAGCAAGGAATTAGCAGCAGCCACTCCAGAGTTTCTCGTGTATTTTCATTAATCTCTCTTCAATAGATTTATTAAATAAAGCTATTAATTTAAAACTGAAAAATCCAATGTGGTCCTAAATTTGTTTTTTATTAGCTTAGCTTTAGCACACAGGGAAGTGCAGCCACTCATGTGACTCAGGAAGACAGTTTCTCTCCCTGAAAACAAAACTGATGTGATTCTGGGCTCAGACCAGAACCTGAATGAGTCCATACTGTGCTGTCCAGTTAGTGCTATCAGCTGATCTGACTGAGATCTACTCACTGCAACAGACTCCTTACTTTGATAAAATCTACTGTGTGGCTCCTTACCCTATGGAGTTGGATCTTAGGAAGCATGAAAAAAGACGGAAAAACATTTTAGGATACTTGGACAAGCCGATGTCAGCATTACAGTCACACTCTGTCAAATTCACTTTACCAAACATTAATATCAATACAAAACTATTTAACTACAAAAGGCAAACTACCACTACTACACTTATTTTAGGTAACACCAGTAACCAACTCTTTGAAACTCGACTCTTAAAACATGTGTAAACAATCTGTGTTAGAATAAGAAATCAGAAGAAGAACAAGGGAAACAGTGTCACAGTGACTGGAAACCCAGCTGTGGAACTCGGTTGACAAACAACAGCGTAAATCATCTTTGTAACTGTGTTACAGACTGACTTGATTTGACAGTTTGTTTTCTATTAATCTACCTGTAACGTGATTTTCTGTAGGTTGTGGGTTGCTTTTCTTGTCGTCATTGGTCAGTGTTAATTGCACAGCATTAACACATGTTATACCAGACAGGCAGCTCCTATTCATATTTGCATGAACATTTTGTGGCACATCCAGTATTTATAGTTCATTTCTAAATGTTGCAAGTTAAACCTTTCAACATTTTTTTTGTTGATCATAAAATAACGATGGATGGATGGATGGATGGATGGATGGATGGATGGATGGATGGATGGATGGATGGATGGATGGATGGATGGATGGATGGATGGATGGATGGATGATAGATAGATATATATAATATAGATATATAGATAGATAGATAGATAGACTAGATAGATAGATAGATAGATAGATAGATAGATAGATAGATAGATAGATAGATAGATAGATACATAGATAGATAGATAGATAGATAGATAGATAGATAGATAGATAGATAGATAGATATCCACAGCAAAAATATTCGAATAAGTTCATGCCCACACAAACCAAACCTGTGTAGAGTGTGAGAACATACCTCCGTGGGAACAGTAACTCTAGACCAAACATGCTGGAATATACCAAAGATAATAAGTTGTTGCTTTTCTGCAATTGATATCCTCAAAAAAGGATACATTCAATTACACAGGGAAGTACTGAAAGTATAGTATAATTTTAATCGTATAATTAGAATAGTATAAAAAGTATATAAGTACAGTATTGGTATAGAATAATTAAGTGTAATTGTGCTTCCACTTAAAGCCAAAGAAAGCCAAACTGTCTGCAGAAAAGACTTCTGATTGATTTCACCACTATTACATTATTAATATGAACTATTATTATTATGAAGCACTAGCAACATGGGCCTGGTGACATATTGTGATGTCCTCACTGAGCTTTTGGTTCCTAACCTTCAAAAGCTTTTTTTGTTTTCACCTGCACATCCTGGAAATACTTTCTGCATCACCATTGCGCTGTCACGCAGTCATCTGTGCACATTTAACACAGGGACACATGCTTTCCTGCAAAACACCCCAACATTGTGTGTGTGTGTGTGTGTGTATCCGTCTCTCAAACAGAGCAATGCAGACTGTCAGCTCAACAACAACAGAAAGTGACCGAGGGAGACAGCCGCTGCCTCGAGCCCTTTGACTCAGAAAGCAGCTTAGTGCTTCTTACATAATCTGATGCTGCCTTGAACTGTTTAGACCAAGAGTCAAAACTCTGCTGTCTGAGACACAGAGATGGGTAGCACAGATAGAAAGTGTCACCGAGCTGGTTAAAAGTGGAGGCGCACGCGGGGCAGATGGGTTAAACAGGAATGCTTGTGTAAGTTACACAGATGAGCCGATAATGGAGCTTTAAGATGATCAAGTGCCTGCAACGGGCACATTTAAATGGTATCTTTTGTGAGCTACAAGCACACATGAACAACATCTAAAGACTGAATGGTGAAAAAGTTCAAAGACTAAAGCAATTAATGGGATCAATCCATGTGTTTAGACAAAGGAAGCCTGGTTTAATACAAGATGCTCTTGACCTGTCAGCAGAACTATTAGCACAGCTTTTATTAAGATAAAATCCACTTTTAGACAAACAATGACTGAAAACCTTCACAAACAAGGGCTTCGATTCATTAGCACATATTCCTCTGCAGAAGGACGACATTTATCACACTATTTGGCGAACATGCTTCACTGAAGAGGCAAGATGACTTTAGACATTTGAAACAGTTTATCTAATCTATGTTTAAAACCGTTTGCAGATCGGGTGTCACAGAAGGCAACGCCATGTGTCCACAGAACAACCAAATTCATTGGGTGACTGTGGCCACACGGTTTGCATACAACTACTGTCACTGTTAAAGCTGTTTGGCAAGTGTGAAGCAGGAAATTCAATGAACATGTGACCATCAGTCTGTACCTCATATCTCCAATCTTCCTGGTGATGGTGCTGCCGAGCGTGCTGAAGGCTGCCGAGGTTCTCTGTCCCGCTGTGGAAAGCGTCTCTGATGTCTTCTTGTAGCTGCCAAAAAACCCCAAAACAAAACACAAAGGTGCGTGCAGTGAAAGATAAAGACGCATACACAACACAGGCTTGTTCGGAGAAAACAAAAGCATGAACATGCTGTAATTAAAACTTGCACTACTGAGTTTTTACAAAAGCAAATGGAATAAGTCACAGTTCATGTTGGGTGATTCCTTTAGCTGATAATTCATATGTGCAATTATTTTTACAAAGCCTCACTTCAATCACTGGTAATAAAAATAACCATCTATCTTATTTTGAGATTATTTGTTAGCGTTAAGTAAAAAGGCGAACACATCACTTTAAGGCCCTACTTTGCTTTTTTGTATTGTAGAAATTTGACATGAATTTAGGTTGGGCCTGTTTGCATCCAGATCGTCTATCACAGCTTCTCGCATGTCTGTGTTGCCCAGTTTCTCTAACACCACACATTGCTGTGGTCACCCTGGTTCATTATAGATGAGGATGGAGTCTGTGTGTAAGGTGATCTTCGGTGAAAAGTGTAACTGGATAAGAAAGCTGGCCTTCAGAGACTATCCTCTTGCTCTTCTTTGTCTCTTGCTGTCTGGATAAAAGCTCAGTGCTGACCATCTGATCAGAAAATTTGATTGTTTCTCTGGAGACAGAGACACTAAAAGATCTTACAGAAACAACATTTTGGAGATGAGAAGATGGCTCTTTAGCTTAGTATTCCCATCAAGTGACTTACCAAGTATCTTTGGAGCTAACTATTATCACCTGGTCTTGTACAGATAAATGAAAAATTAAAAGGAAAACCCAACACAATAGTATTTGGGTTCCTGCTAAGGTGTTAGGTTAATACATGCTGCCAGAACAGCTTCAGTCTGTCCTAGCATGTCTCTGAAGGTCTAGTGAAGGGATAAAAATAATTCTTATAGGAAACATTCCCGATCACAGTGATAAGGAGCGCAGTGTAACAAGCACTGGATTCACATGAGATGTGGTGACTGGGCACGATTCACTACTTTTCATTTTATCCAACCATCTGGATGTTATCTTTGAAAAAAAAAAACACACTCCTTTTGAGATAGAAATGTAGGATCACTGGGTAAATTTGATCACTTTGCACTTGACTGCTAAACCATCATGTTTTTCCATCCGTTAACTATCCCTGCTTGTCCTACAAGCCTGAGTCGATCGCAGTGCCATGCATGCAGAGCATTACAGAACCACCAGATCTTCTTACTATGGAGGTCGAGGCTTTCTGTTTTCCTTTTAATTTGTCACCCTCTGAGATTTTTTGGAAAGAACAGAAAACCAGCACATTTCCCCAAACTCCAAACTATTCCTATTAATCTTTAAATAAGATCAACTCCTGCAGATCTGCATGAACATCAAAGCCCCGGTAAAATCAAACCTAAAACCTGCAGGGCTGCACGTTTTGTACCATTTCATTCACTATTAGGTTGGTAGATAGTTGTACACTTTTTAAAGCACACAGCTGAAATCAATATTTCTTTAAGGGAATTTTTTTTTCAGAAATACACCGACAACTTCTCTTTAAAAAAAAGAGAAGTACACAAACAATAAATGTTCCCTGTTACAGGTAGGGAAGTGACATTTAAAAGAAAATCATAGTACAGTACAATGACTTCCAGCTGCTAAAGGGAACATGTACTACTAATTGTGCACTGAGGACAACCATAGCCTTCAGCACTGGGTGATGTGTTTTGATCAGGTTTATGGTGTCTGTTACAGTGAGCACAACAAAGATAACAAATCACACACATGCTGTGCAGCCAGGAGCAGAACATTATGTTTTTTTAATTAGCTTTTTGATATCTGGCACTCGTTTTGGATAGTCAATGCTGGCTGTTAAGAAGAGAGAAACCTGCTCTTTGTGTGATTACTTTGAGTGTGTCCTATGAAGGGCATCAGTGTTTACAGCTAACATAAAAGCCATTCTGCCGTGTACACTTCGAAACACACACCTTATTAAGCACACAAATTCTTTCTTTGTTTCTTAGCTGTGTGATGTAGCCTCTCTCTCTCACACACACACATACTGTAACTTACGCTACTGAGCTCTGCATGTCGTGCCAGCCTCTGCTGAAGTTGGTTTTGAGCTCGCTCAGAGGAGTGATGCCCAGTTTCTGTTTGAGCTCCGCATGCTGCTTCTCTTTGGAAGACAAAACCTGCCTCAGTGTGCCGATCTCCTCTTCCAGCTGGACATGCACAGAAAGACACAGCTTCTAAAGTGACTTCATAGACCGAGATAAAAAAGTCATCATCCTAATGCTAAAGATATATTTGTGTTCTTGTGTGTGTTTACTTTAGCTAACTCTTGCTGAATCTCCTCCCTCTCTTCCTCCGTCATGGAGGCGCTCAGGTTGACGTCTGACACAAAGTCTTCATCAGCCTCTCTCAGTGGCTCCGAATCTAGAAAACCTGTGTGAAACACACACAAAGGCACCATAAATGCACTTTAGCGTGTCCATGTGTGACCTTAAAACTGACGACACCCTAATGACAAGGTGTGAATTCAACATTTCAAGGTGAAAATCTGGTCTCTGACCACCAGTAAATCTGTACTGGGCGCCGATTTATTTCCTGGTATTGTTACTTGTTTTGTTGCCATCGTGTATTTTTAAATGAGCCATGTCAGAGACAATCTGGCATCCATGCCTCATTCTGCCTTTTTCTGCTTCATTGTTTTTTTTGACTCTGCTTTTTCCACGTTTTCTGTGTCTGTCTCCATCTCTGATCGTGTCTCTGACAGTTATGTAATCTGAGGCTGCAGCCTGTAGTGCCCTAATCTGGCTTAACTGATGTGGATTATCGTGCTTAAACTCTGCTGACCAACACCACAGGCAAACACAAACACTAACGCACACTCAAACAAGATGGGTTGAGACTTCGGGGAGGAGAGCAAATTTTAAGTTGCAGTGATTGATTTTCAGTTTTGTAGCAAATGAAAAACATGCGCTTGGGGAAAAGCGTTGAATTGAGATTAAAGACATTATGTAAAACCTCCGCTTGTTTACAAGAGCAGCATCGCAGCCGTCTGCCCAACTTACGAGCTATAAGAAATGAAATATGATTAGACAGGACAGAACACACACATAATTCAGATACACAAACAGAATGAAACAACTACAGTAAATGACGCTTTCTGATTAGCAATGTTTATTTACCTTTTAATTCTATTGAAATAATAGTTGCAGAGAGGTGCAAACACCCAAAATAAAGCATGAGCTGAAGGTGAACTCGCTTAGACTATTTTAGTATGATCCGTCTTATACTGTTGCACCATTTGCTTTTATGATATTTGTAAAGGGCTTAACAGCAGCACACAGTACCAGGAAACAGCAGGAGGGCAGTGTACACACAACGCAAGAAAGGTAAATACACGCAAGTCGTGTGTCAATGAACACTTAAAGTTATCCCTTTAAATGCTGACTCAGACGCCATTTCGACAGGATGGAAGTAAAACGTTTTCACGTACCTGCGGTGAGGTGTCCCCTCTCTTGATGTGGCCGCATTATAAGACAGGTGAGGGGACAGTGAGGTTAGTAAAGACTAATGTACTGCACTGTGTCGCCACTCTCCACTGACTGTAGTGGCTACTTTAACATATCAGCAGTTCAGTTCTTTGAAAACTAAGGTTAAAGGGGACACAGCAGCAGCTCATGCAGCAAACTCACACACAAAAACAGCGTACAGCACGAAACTCAAGCACAGCTTGCAGCAGTTCAGTTTGTTGCAGGTCTTTCTACAGTAAAGAGCTTTTTCTGCTAACATTACACAGCAGGAGGACAATGAGATTTTAAACCCCTGCGGTTTCAATAGAAGCTTTTCATGTCTGTCTTAAGTGCACTCAGAAAGCAGTGTCCCTGTTTACACAGCCTTAAAAAGCCAGGCAGAGCCCCGGTTTAGATATTTTCTACCAGAGTTGGTAAAGCTTGGGAAACAAAACACTACACAACACAACACACCATCTCTGCTGAAGTTCGTCTGCACGGTACAGATTATGTTTTCTTTTCAAAGTGCTCTTGAATATAAAGGTAAAAACCACTGCAAGGTAGCTATGAATGACCACATTTGAGTGCTGTTCTTTACTTGTTAGCTGATGATTTTTGCAATTTTTTGGCTAACCTTGATTTCCTTTTAGCTAACTTTTTTTTAAGGACCTAAGCTATGTCTGTCTGTCCAAAACCTTTGAGGTCCACCAAAATATTGCTTTAGCTAAGAAATACCCTGGTTAAGAGTAGTTATAAGGCATCTTATGCCTTTATTTGACAGTGAAATATAGATAAGAGTGAAAGGGGAATAACCTGCAGAAAGGTTAATGTTCATTGGGTAAAATCAAACAGACAGACATTGAAAACAAGATTCAGTGTAAGATCAGGTACTGACAATCTCAATTTCCCAGGTCTTCACACAGGTCTAGAGACCAGTTGGGGATCCTCAAACAAGCAGTGGTTGCAAAGGAAAAATGTGTATTCTCTGACTGGCTGGCAAGTGGTTGCTGGCAGTCGCTAGCAAGAAACTGGTTTCAAAGAAACGGTGCTGCTGCAGTAGAGGCGATGATTGGTCGCCTTCAAAGTAAAAGTTTTTCGATAATACACAGCATTTGATTTCTCCGTGTCTAATTGCTGTCACACTTTTTCAAATGTTGCTGAAGCTCGGTGGTTTGTTAGCAAGTGTTTGCAGGCAAGTCTGTGTCTTCCATGCAAACTAAAGTGGACGGTGACAACCTGCTAGTGACAAAAGCAATCACAAGCAAGTTTTAGCTGTGGGACATTCTCGGCGACTGACTTCACCTGGCAACAGCAACCAGTTCAGAAAAACACGTTTCCCTAGCAACCAGAGGTTGCCAGGTGTCAAAAACTGGTCTCTAGGCCCATGTGACTGACACTTTTTAATTAAACAGAAGCAGTGGGCCACTAGAAATGTGCAGGCAACATCTAACAACGAGAAGATTAAACTTTGTGAAAAGTTACAATGCTAATTTCATGTTGTTTTTATAATACAATATACAACCATTTTTAAAAAAACCATGTTCTACAACAAAAAAAAACCTTTTGATTGAACACTTAACATATTGTAGACTCTTGGTAACAGAAAGAAAATATATTCCCCAAAAAATTGCAGGAATTTGGATTTATTAAATTTATCTGATTGGTTAATTGTTTGATTGCATTTTCCTTGTTGCTGCTGTTAGGCTGAGTGTGGTCTATATTTGAGACTAAATGCAAACTGTATTATATACAGTGGAGTCTGTGTGTTTGCTTTTTAATTATAACCGCTAGGGATACATCCCATGTGAAATTCTAGATGGCTATTATGTTAACGTGACACGAGTGATAAACAACAGTCACTGCCACCTCTGAGTGCATTCTCATTTGAGGACACCACAAAAATCATGTATCGGCAGATACAAATAATTCAATCGTTGCTGAGATAAAAGACTGAATTTAGTTTTTAATAGCTTTGTCACAGATCAGATTGCCTGATGCTTACCATGTTGCTTGTGCCAACAGAAGCCCTAGGGGTAGCTGTAGGTTTAAATGTTCAGCCAAAGTGAATGACTGATCTAATCTACAGGCTCTATATCTACATCCCTTGTCACCTGTGCTGTCCAGCTGCATATCCCAAGCGGTGGACGTGGCCCAGGTGTCAGACACTGATGTGTGACCCCACCGGCTGTCCCCTGAGGGTGAAGTTTTACCCCATTCTGTCAGGTTTTCCCCATTTTGGACGACGGAGGTAAAACCATATGAGCTTTTCCTAAGGGACTCCTCATCAGAGGGGTAAAGCTTACCTTGATTCAAACCTGAGTAAAGTCACAGTTTAAAACATGTTCAGTACCTGAGGAAAACAGAATTTTTAATTTTGCAAGCAATTAGTTCTTATTTAATATTTTAGCTTAAGGAAGGGGGAAAAGGCAAAAGTGGGAAAGCTCACAGGCTGTGAAACTGCCTGTAAGAATACAGGAAGTTCCTGCAGACAGAACAGAGTGCTTACTGGTTTAAGGGAAACACAGGAATGTGAGTAATTTCATACTAAGGAAATCATCCTATCAGTCAGCAACATCTCATATAACTGCCAATGTTTTTTGCTAGTGATTTTACGTATACAGTATATCCCTCAAATGGTTTGCACTGTAACAGAATTGCATTTTCTTCCAAAACTGATGAAAGACGTCGAAACTTCACCGCAAGACACAATGTTAGCATTTACAAGGTTTCATAAAACCTATGGAGGCTTTTTAAAGGGGACAGCTGCATGTGGTGGAAGAAAACACAATTGGTGAGAGCTGAGAGTGTTAAATGAAACGGTAACGTTGTGTACCGCGATACCGAAACAATCCACCGAAGATGTTAAAATGCACTGAAGGGCTGAGGTGGACCATAATTTTCTGTAGCTATGAGCAAAAACCTGTCATATTACATGTAGTATATATTTTTCTGTTCTATTGCAGAAACATCTCGTGTGGTTTAAATGCATTCCCACATATACATTCATATTTCAGGTCTTTGAAAAAATAGATTATTTGTAATTTAACAGGTATCATGCACTCAAATCAGCCTGATCACTGCTGCTTTGGGTAAAGTTATATCAAATTCAATGAAAGGAATGACTTTCCCTTCAATTTAAGGAATAAAATTCCAGTCTTTTTGTCTTTTTACTTGTTGGTTTATTCACACAGACCAAACTCACTCATCTGACTGTTCATTAAATCAACACTGAATAACAGAAGGGCAATAAGTGCTCCAGTAATTCCTATAGACAGGCACCTTTAAACATTCTGCACCTTTACTGCTTCAGCATTGCTCAGAGCACCACTGCATGACGTGGTTTTATGCTTTTTGTGATTCAGGGTGGATTTACGGGTTTCTTTTGCTTTACTGGGAGAGTTGAGTCTTACCCTGCTCTCCCTCGTGTATGGCTGAATCAACCCATTCCTCTCCGGGGCCCATGCTGCCCCAGTCCACCACTGATCCACTCAGAACACTAGAGTACATCTCTGCAGCGGAGCAAGGCAGCAGGGTGAGGGGACACAAGAAATCCGGTTATACATGCAAACATGGAGACTTCTCCTCCCTGACAGCTGTAGTTAGGCCCAGCTCAGTGCAGGAACAGGAAACCTGACTTTTGACCCTATGTGCTACTGATATGAACTTCTCCGAGCTCTTTAAACAGGATGTAGCTCCTTCTTATTATTTAGAGACCCAGACCAAGAAGAAATCAGTGCCACAGAGGGTTCACAACGGGATCTTGTATAACTTTGAAACAATCCAGAAAGAATATCTGAAGCTATTAGGCAATACAAGCTCCCTTCTTGCAGATGAAATCTCATTACACCACACTCCAGCACTACAGGAGGAAGTTGGCCAGGATAAGGCCAGTTTCACTTACAATATGTCCCTCTGGTTCCACATTTTGACAATGAGGCAAAGCTGACTGGCAAAAACAGTTTTTCCAGGGAAGAAAAAGATCACGTACTTGGGTGGAAAAACACTGAGCATACATTTTAATCTAAAAAGCATGTTTTATGGTAATAAAGAAGAATAATTTCCTCAGAGGTGGGTCTTATACAGCAACATGTGTGATTTTAGCTACTCAAAGCAGGTCATACCAGACTGTGAGGATCTTTTAGCACTAACACTGATTTATGTCATAGGGTGCTCAGAAGAAAATTGTCTCCTTCTTTACTGTCCATTCTGTGTGTCTCCTCCCTCCCCCTGCTTTTTTGTGGGGGTGAAATAGCTTAGGTCACAAGATTACCATTCGGCCCAGCGGTCATGTGGCTATGCTAAATCAGAGGCTTGGGGATGGTCATACGGCTGAAAAAATTAATTAAAACTGGCAAACAGTAGATACTGCACATAACATTTACAGCAGTTAACACAAAAAAATCCCTGTTCCAGACATTACAGCTGCTTGTACATGGGTAACCATGAAATATAACCAAAAGTATTGCTTTATAAAAAACAAATAAGTTAATTATAAAGTTCATATTCCCATATCAGAGTCTTTCCCCCCCCTTTTTCTCCCTCTCTAAGCCTTTCCGGCTTCCTGTTAGCTGTAACAGGTACCTATTTAGAATCAGACTGCAAAGGAATGCAATTACCTACCTGAATAAGCAATCCTTTATATCCCACACAAGCAGAGCTACTGCTCGAGCTCCAGCTTTCATTTTCACAATTCATTTGGTCTGAGCAGTCAGTCAACGTTATTTATCTATAGCTTGGAGTCACTCTGTACTCTAAAAACAACACAGATTCTTTGCACTGCTGTAGAAAACGAAAGCAATGCGTCTTCTGTAAAGACTTTTGCAGCAGTGATTTTATCTCCTGCAGTACCTGCAGCAGACCAAAGCGCAAAGGTAGTGGACAGGGGAAGGATGGAGGGGGGCTAAGCCAATTCCTGAGGTGAATAGAAAGCATTCTGGCTTTGCAGAACTTCCATAAATAGCCTGAAAGTCACCACATAGAGGGGGTAAACAGTAGCCAGCCCAGGATTTGGTCAGGAGTTTCCATGTCGTCTTACAGTGTGCGTGCGTGTGTGTGCATGAAGCTTCTTAACTGTTGCACTGCTTCTTAAAAACGCAGCACCCTCAACAAACAGTCTTTACACTGAAGGCGCCATGCAGCAACAGATGAAGCTGACATAAGCAGCAGCAGATGCTCCGCTTTATACACTTTTTCCCCCCTCTTCTCCATTCCCACAGCGACGTCATAACAGTGGCGCGTGCAACACTCAAGTTCAACTCATTATCAGATCAACTGGAAACAAAAAGTAACGCTGCGGATTCAGTTATCCCGGTCTGAGAGGTAAGAAACGGCACTCACTCACCTTGCTGCCTGGTTTCCATGAGCGACGCACAGGTGAGCTTCACAACAAATAATAATAATAAAAAACGCGCTGTGAGTCACACAAGGATCGGCCGCACGCGCAGCTGCACCGCTCCTCGGGTCAGTCCGTGTGTCAAGTTTCCTTGGATGTCACGCGCGCTGGGCCAGTTCCCGGGCGGAGCCTGCAGCGCGAGCCAATGAGCGCGCGCAGTTTTAATGTAGTTAATTTGCTCCGTGCACAGGAAGCTGCGCTCGGTGGACACAACGAAGATGCCACAGCGACAAAGGTCCAGAAAATAAATGTGTTTGTTGGAGGTGGAGAAATATTTTCATTTTCATTATTAAAAAACAAACAAACCGGAACATAAAAATACAAATAAAGAGATAAAAATAAGGTAAATATTTAAATGTAACCATCTTGGATGTTGTGAGCTAGTAGTACATATAAAGTAGTGCATGTACTACACCTCTGCACTGTCTGTGCACTTATTATTTCACTCATGTCTAATTGTAGCCTACATTTTTTAATCGATTTCATTTTGTGCTGTAATTTAATTATATTTATTCATGTAATTTTTTCTAATGTATTTTTATTCCCGTGTTTAACACTTTGGTCAGTGGTTTCTGTTTTTAAAGTACTTAAGTAAAGTAAATAAGGTTGGCTTTGCTCTTACTGGTGTGTTTGTACCACTCCTGACACGACTACTCACACTTCAGTTGAACACTAAATAAGCCACTTAATGTTATTACTTGTTTTTAAGCCATTAATGAATCTGCCATGTTTTCTTTTCAGAATTCATTACACCGCTGTTTTAGTGTCTACTTGTTCATAGGAAATAATGAGGTTTTGGCCTTAGACTGCCCATGGTTATGTTGGCTTCACCTCCTCTGGTGCACTTATGACCCCTGCTGACATAAAACTGCAGTCACAGCCGTGCTTACACGAATACACAGACTGTAGCCACTTAAACACCCTGTCAAACAGACCTCAGAAAGAGCTGCATAATTGAGAGAGGCCTCCACTTTATCTACGAACAAAGAAGCAGAGTGTTTCGGTGATGCGTTAATATAAAAAAGAATCAGGCAAACTGGGGCATTTTGGCATTTGACTTACTTTACTTTATTCTCCGTTAATAAAGCAAATGTTCAGGAGAAAACAGTGTTTGTGCCTGGCTAAGTGAGCAACAATAACAAATATTACTAGCAGATGTTTCAGCAGGTGGAAGAAGGTTTTCCTGGTGAAAACAAGGAACATACTCATCAAGCGTCTCTAACATTTCCTTGAATAGAAATACCCGTGGATAACTGTGTGGCGTGTACACATAAACCTGCTGCTGTTGTCGTTCCAACAACTTTGCATGTCTAGATAGGGAAAACCCAACCCGATGTTACTGATAGTACACCACCATATTGCAACATCACTTGTCCTGAGTCAAACTTATGCTGAAATGACACTGAAATCGTTTTTTTTTTTTGGCGTGATTAACTCTTTCATCGAGACAGGGTTAGTCCCGTGTTGGCCTTAAATTATATTCATCTGATGAGTGCAACAGCCTCCTCGAATTAATCTAAAGAGCGAGTCGGAAACATGGTGACGGAGTAACTTGTGCAAAAAGGTACAAAGAGTATTTGGGATGTAGCGAAACCCACTGCATTGTGGCACTTATAAAATTTCAGAAGTTTAGTTTAATCTGAAGCTATAAAACATATTTTTAGCAGGAAAACACAGAGTCATCTGCATATCTTCTGTGTGGTATGGGTAAGACATCCATAAATATATATTCCTTCAACAGTAGTTTCAGACAAATTTATTTTACATCAAGAAGCCTGTTGTACTGCTCTATTAACTGTTCTAATAAATAACACATACAACAGCAGGCTGATAAGACTGCACCCTTGTCTGTAATATTTGCAGGACCCTGAATAAAAAGTTGGTAATCTGATCTATTGTTGATGTGAAGGCACCATTGCATATTTATGCCAATAAAACCGGGAATGTCATATAAACAAAACAAAACAAAACAAAGACCATGGGTATCAACCAGCCAATGCTTCCCAGCAAGGGGAAAAAAATCATGACCTGAAACAACTCTAATGTCACTAAATGAATATACAGAGCAGCTTCTGGTTACAGCTTTAACCAAAGAGCTCCTGGCTATAGTAACACAACAACAGTAACAACAAAGATGGGATTTCTGCATGGCATTAGCACTGGGCAGAGTTATGCAACACAGATGTGTATAAAAGGGTAAAAACCTGATGTGACATGGAAAAGAACCATCCCATAAGACCTCAATTATCTGTATTTACAAAAAAAACCCCAAAAACAAAAGGCAAATTTGCCATCTTTTTTTTTTCTACGAGCTAACCATTAAAGAAAAATTTAAATTTAGGAAAATGCTAAAGGACAATAGTCTAAAGGACATAACCGTCATATTCTCTGTCAACCATTTAATAACTTTAAAAAATCCCCCAAAAAAACAAGCAGCAATTCAATACACCAGTGTAGCTGAAACGTGCCTGCATGAAATGCATGTGAGTAAATGTTAAAAGCATTCAGTTTGGCCCATTCATTGCACATCCGCCTCCATGCTGCTGATTTACTAATACATATTGTAATGTACAGGTTTAACCCGTGACCAGAGTGCAGACTGGACAGTGGCGGCTGCACCCAGACAGTTTGATCTTCTTTTGACACTACAGTGGTTTTACTTCCTGGAATTTAAACCAGGGTTTCTAATCCCTGAAGCTCCAGGCATCAGGAAGAGCTGCGACTCTAGAGTGCAGTTGAGGATATCTGTGGCACAGCTCAGGTAAGATGGGAGTCTCTGGGTTACAGTGAAGAGAAAAGCAAACTTCCTGAGAGCAGATTCAAACCCAGAATCGTGACCCTGTTGTGGTTGTTCAGATCGGGTGTGTAACAATCTGTGTATGTATATTGCGCCTACAGCTGACACGTTGTATGTGTTAACTCCCAGATGTAGAAAAGAGATCAGGTCATGGGATAAATCCCAGTTAATGGCATTGCACTGCAAATCATCCAATCATCTGCTTCAGTGATGAAACGTGCTGTAATATCCGCTCCGACAGCAACTGCTACGGATGCACAGACACAAACTTTCCACCTGTACTGTAATCACCCGCCTCTCCACATCCACTCACAGCTGAGGTCAGAGTCCAGTCATACCTCATGGGGCAGCGGCACGGACAAAAGATGTTAAAGGACAATCACGAGGCATCAAAGGTATATATAAAAAAAATGAAATAAAGCAAAAAACAAAAAGAGTGACAGGATAAGTGGAGAGAGCAGCTGGCTGACTGCTGCCAGGTGGCGACCTTTAAAGCTCTTAAAAATCTGTCGTTTCCTGGCAGCGCTCGCTGTGCGCACTCTCTCTCGTGCCAGTGCGAATGAATTCAGAGGTTTGCATCAAAACTGCTTTGTCACTATCCAAACTGTCAAGCAGGCAGACAGCTTCAAACAAACAAACAAACAAACAAACAAAAAACACAAAACTGATCCACATACAGCTGACATCCAAATAAACTGGATGACCTTAAGAACAATAACACCCTGTTTAGCTCTTTGGTAAACCGCGGGCCTAACTCTACATTCTATTCTCTGTCTTTTCAGTCAGTTTCTGGTCTTCTGAGCACTTTCCAACTATCTACCGTACTTCTACAGCTTGTTTTCATCCCCATTTCTTGTGCACACTCCATTACACCTCATCGACACCCCTGCAAAAGTTCACGTCTAAAAGAACAATAAAAACAAAACAAATAACAAAGGGAAACGGTAAACCGTCTATCCCGCCATATTCAGCGCTTTGTTTTGGCACAGCAGCTCCTTTTTTTTTGATGATGCAGATACTGGCATACAGCATGTAGGCTCACTGGAAACAACATGCCATGCAGAGAGGGAGAGTGTAAACCAGCATCAGCTCAGACAGACAGACAGAGAGGTGGGACAAAAAGACAGCAAGAGAGACGGGGACAGACAGGATGAAGGTTTGATGGAAAACCATAACAGAAAACAACAGAGGCTTGTTAGAACTCCAAAGGGCCTTCCAAAGTTTCACTTTCGTGTGTGTTAGTGTGTGTGCGGTCTTTAACACCAGACGTCACTCTTAAGGTTGGGTACACACCCAATCTTCAAACCTTCTAGCGAGAATTTGAGAGGCAGTCGCTGTTACCCAGAATAGTCAAGTATCATCCTTCCTTTGACATTATTGTCCACGCTGTCGGTTTGCCAGATACTCAAACTGCGATGGAAATTTTTCCAAATATCTGACCTGCGCTGGGAAAAATTGAGGTCCAGCTTGCGTTGCATTGGTGAGAACTTGATATCAGTGCTTGTTTCAAATTCATTTCCATTTCTCACCCTTTTTTCCTGCAGCCAACAGCGGCAAAAACAACCTTTGCAAATGAATAAAAACGTATTTCCTTCTTTTTCATCCGCGAGGCTCTGCTATCACCGTGCAGCCGGCGTTTCTGGCACCTTCATAATTACCGGTATCCGACACAATCAAAGCCTCGTGTCCACAGTATTCCTACATCTCAGCGTCAAACTAACCGCAGGTAGGAAAGCAAAGGCGCAAACCAAACTGCAGCTGTTTAAGCTGCGATTTATGGTTGTTCTCCTTTAAAATAATGAAATAAAAAGTGTGACATTCGTGGAAAATGTGCACCGATTTAAACTTCCTGCAGTGTATCCATGAAAGTCCTCAGAAGTTCCTGCATTTAACATCCTCTATGTGACGAGCACTGTGCAAGACAGCAGCTGATCGGGGGGGGGGGGGAGGTTGCTTTTTTTTTTTTTTTTTTTAACTTTTTTTTTAAAATTACTCTTCTGCGTAAATATCCAGCATTCATTTTGCAGTAGTCCCACTTGAGAGCAATAATCCAGATGTAAAGATGTGCATTCATGTAGGCCTCACGTTATAGATTTAGGTACATCATTCCACCTGAGGTCCTTCCTAACTGCCAGTGTTTAGTTTGTGTTGCTCATCTCAAGAGTTTTGTGATGACTCAGGCTGGGAGGTCTGTCCCTGAGGAGGTGCGGGTGTTGTCTTTCCAAACCGTGTGTGTGTGTGTGTGTGTGTGTGTGCGTGTGTGTCTGTGTGTGTGTGTGTGTGTGTGT